GGTCGGATATAGAGTATCCCCGCGATGATATACCAATCATTACGACGTTATCATTGTTATCTCAGGAGTTATCGCGATGGATATATCTTCACGGGACACCCTGTATAATGGCAATTTCCGATCGGATGGTCTGTGAGACATTATATTATTTTCCTTTCGCGGTATTCGGCCACTTTGATTGGATTTTTTTTGTCGCTGTTATGAAACCCTGTAATACGGGACTGATGAGACAGGGTAATTATTACACGTGATGGACACGTTATGATTTCAAAGATATCCGTTGTAATATTCTGTGAAGTGCAGGTTCATTAAAAATTCCTATTTATTATTATTAATATAATAAACGATAATGGATGACTAAGAAGATTGATATTATGAAAGGTTGTCGAAGAACTCGAACTAATTAAAATGGATAATATGACTTGTTTCGTTCTTTGTCGTCGTGAATATCTCGTGGTAGTTTTTTTTTTTTTATATATATATATATACATATATATAAATAGTTTTTTAAACGTACTTTGATGTCGAACGCGCCAATAACGTCGAACTATTACGACGGAAATGTTTTATGCTGTATACCTGCCGATGACGGGTGTAACCGTCAATAAGCGGACATACATCATTTTGAATTCGGTTATAAAACTCGAGTAAAACACACACAATATTATTGGCCACCGCGTCGAATTCAATATTATTATCCGATTATAGTTTATTATATTTTATTCGCATGCGCGCTTATAACCGCAAATAAGGAAAACCGCGATCCTATTTGTGCGTGCTGTACATTTCAAGGTTTCTGTTTACGAATAAAAATCATATAATGTCTCGTACGACACCGCGGCGGCGGTCACGCCGAATAAAATTATCGACACAAATGTCCTAACGCCCTAAATTTTTTTTGTTTTTTATACGTTTTCCGAGCGATTCATAGCAATGCACCCAACAGCGAAAACGACGCCCGTCGAGCTCTGCTAATCTGTAGACGGACGCACGAGAACTGGTAGGCGGTAATAACGGCCGTGGGAAAATGTACCGAAATGACGGCCAACAGACAAACGGTCATTATAAATATCGGTGTATCGTGTAGGGGTGCATAATTTAAAACCCCTAGTTTTATTCGAGAGTCAGTCGGGGTCGTCCAATGCGAACGGGAAACCTTTGAAAACTTGAAATTCCGTGGGACGCGAGCGACGGGGGTGAGAGCCGAAAGTTTAAACGTCCAAAAGGCGCGATGTCCTCGTCACCGAATCCGATTCTCGTGAAACAATCGTATCCCTCTATAGCTTCCATCGAAGGTTCCGCGCGGGCGTCGCAAGTTTAAAATAGAACCGCTCGTCCCCCACGATCGCGCTGAAATGTGCGAAATCTACTCGTTATCGCTTCAATCCGCATGCAAAACAACAATAGTTCTCGAGTAGTGTTCGAAACTAGCTGGGAAAAACAGTGTATATTATAGACACGGCGCGCGGCGAAACGACAGCCTCCGATTTCGGGGAGAAATTCGATAACGGGTTTTAAACTATTCGATGCCGATACGTTCAGAAACGTATTTACATTTTACGACGTCCCGGAGCACTGTTGTTTTAGCGCCCTTTCACGAGAACCGTTGATTTTCAAGACGCGCCGGGATTTCGAACTGCGCACTTTACATTTTGTACCGTACACTTTGCGCTCAAAAACTCACGATTTTCGGGCCCGCCGAGCGAGTGGTAAACAGTGAGACGAGGTTAATATAAATAAAAAAAAACCGACTATTTTACCGTGACTGATACTTAAGAGATTATGACGCCCCTTTGAAACGTGACGCTCCGGCCCTCACCTTGAACGCGTCGCTGAATATATTTTTATCAAACAAGTGACGATAACAACAACAGCAAAAAATACGATTACGAATAAAATTATCGATTTCGTCAAATATTATAATATACGAGTTTGACGATCCAAGTGTTTTTTTTTTTCTTTTTTTTTAATTATTAAAGCTCTTCGATAGTAAATCGACTACGTCGTACGACAATTATTACGTCAGTAAGGTATTATCGAAATAAATACCGTTTATTCCCACAAAGGAAAAATCGTAAGCTCATTAAGTCGGAAATTTTAAAATAAAAACGATCGTTAAATGTCGTCTCCGAAATAATTTTAACTTTCAATAAATATACAAAAGAATAAAAAAAAAAAAAAATGTACGAACGATGTATTCATCTAACATAGGTTGAAGACGCGAAAATACGCGACGAGATACGTAAAGACGAAATACGCGGTCGTACACACTGTAAAATATTGTAATGTCTCGATGTGTAAAAAGTCGGTGAAACGACGGGAAAAAAATACGGTTCTATTATGACAATTACTGCAGTGGATTGCGTTTTAAAGGCCACGCGAGAAAATGAATTCACCGAACAACAATATTTCAATGTCTTTCGGTTAGTAAGGGGTTTTTATATTTGAATGTAAAACCGCCGTCGCGTATATAATTGGCCGCGCCCCCGGAGCGACACCGCCTCTTCTCTACATCCGCGGTATTTCGTGAGAAACGCATTTCTAATTTCTAATTTGAACCAAAAACACGGTGATTTTTAAAGTTGTTTTAGAGACGAAAACCTTAACACTGCGGTTTTCCGTACTTAAAATATATATTGCGATTTGTCCACGTAGGTTTTTAATCAACACAGCCACAGACTCTGATCTGTGGCGGTTTCTAATTGTACGGGTTGTTCGGAAACGGAATTTCAACGATTTTTACGGAACCGTGTGATTTATGCACAAACTCGCCGTCGGGGTGCGAAACCGAAACGGTTTTTCATATTGTATTTTTGCGTTTATATTTCGTTTGTTTGAAAACGGAACGCTATCTCATTGCAGGACGCGTTCCTTTATCGAAATTTAAACGTCCTGACTCGTTCCTTTAAAAACAACCCGTTCAGTAATGCTGCATTTTGATTCAGTGCGGTATTGAATTGCGCAATGAAAACAATACGCATAAGCCATTAGACCTAATACGGCGATCTCGGTGACGTTACTTCACGATGCGTACGTGACATAAACGAAACCGTGTAAAAGTGTAAACCACCACGGACAAAATTACGGCAGTTTTGAATTTCGAGTAAACGATGGGAATTATGATTTAGCACAACGCAGTACAACCGGTAGACCGGAAACGTGGCATATACGAACGGGCGGTATTCTTCACGAACAGTCGTCGTGACAGTCCGTCGTTATCTATACGGTATTAAGACGGGGGTAGCAGTACCGTTTTCCCTTCGAGAGCTGTAGCAAAAATGTGTATTCGTACTCCCTAGTCCCTGCTATCATAGTACTCAGAGTTTACTCGTGGTCTGGAAACGAAAATCTCCATCGAAAGAACGAACGGAAAAAGACTCAGGGGCGAACACCCGACCAGGGAAACCAGAGACGTGTAGACTCGGGGCTCGTCTCGTCGACGTCTTACGAAAGAAATGAAAATAAAATTGGACAAAGACACGTGGACGGGGGCCACGTACGGGCAGCAAAGGCACTACGTGGACTGTAAAAGCTGGCAAAAGAAGAAAAAATTGTTATTTTTTTTTTTTTCAATAACGGTATACGGTATACCGATGTGACACTAAACTCGAAACGATACACTCTTGGTAAAACGAGCAGTATCTCCAACAGCTGGTTTGTCGAGAAAATGCGTTTTCCCTTTTGTGTTCCATCATGAAATCATTATTTTTACGCGCCTTTTATTCATCAATCAATATAGTCGTAGGCATCCTTAGTTTTTCGAACGTTTTTTTTTTCTTGCGTACTCGGATTATTATTTTTGCTGGTTTTCATTTGTAAGGGGAGTTGCTGGATTTTAGTGCAGTAAAACAGCTAGGAGTCTACGACGTGCGTTGAGAGATCAGTTTACCAACGCAATAAGCAGCGTCTCCGTTATACGTACTGCTTCTCTAGGACATGTTACTGCGATTTCCCCCGGTACTCGACGATGTTTTGATTGGGACGAGATTTTAAAGGCGTTTCCAGTGGGGTCATGGTATTTCGCGCTGGAGCGGAAAAAAACGCAGTATTATCCAATTGCGCGCCGAATAGTTGTGGAGTGACGCGGATAATTTTGAAACTTTGGCGTTTACGGCTCGTTTCACCGGAGGAGGTCGGCTATACCGGGCCTACGTTCGAAAAAAAAAAAAAAAAGTGATATTCGCACACCAAGTGCGGGCGAGTGAAACGAGACTTCGGGGCACGTGCCATCACACGCCGTGTAGTACATGACGAGCTTTCGGACGCGCGGCGACTGCGGCGGGTGAACGGAATTTCAACGGCCGGCCCGGCCGCCGTCACGCGTTTCGCGCAAACGTGAAAAACCGTTTAATAAATTCATTTTTTTTTTTTTTTTTTTTTCTATTTTGTCGTTCCGACGCTACGATCAACGCCCGTGTGCGTGCCAATATCTGTTCGATTATTACGACCGCGCTCGACCCACAGGTGGCGTGCGTATTTTACAACAATCGTACGCGCGTATTATAATAATAATAATAATGATAATAATAATACGTATACGAAACGGCCCGTCTGCAATAACTGTCCGGGCGTCCGCATGAATTCTTAATGGGATCCGCCGTACGCGTTTTGGCAACTCGCGGCCGTGGCCGCGCGAACCCGGACGCGAGCGCCCGCGGCTTCGGGGCGGGCGAGTGTCGGCGGACCGCGGCGATGCATATCAATTGGCCGGTCTCGCGGAAACCGCCGTCGTCGACGGCCGGCCCCGCGGCCGCGGTACACGAGCGGTAAAATACGAAACGTAAACGTCATAATAATAAAGAAAAAAAAAATTTAAAAAAAAATTTAAAAAAAAAAAAAAAATCAATCAATAACGTCCATTGTGCGCCGGCCGGTCCCTCTCGATCGCCCCGGTCCGAACCACGTACGGGCCACCCCCTCCCATCGGCCGACGCGCTCTGCGGGCCGCCCGGACGGCCACTATATCTACGGGATCCCGACCGGTCACTCGTCCCATTCCGCCGTCGTCCGCCGCACACAGCCCGTCACTGCACAGTCGGCCGACATTGTCCGGTACAGTCCCGCCGCCGCCGTCGCACGCATCACCCCCCCGCACACGAAATACTCACACGATGGCTGCTCGCCGTACCGCCGCCGCCGCCGCCGCCGTCACCGCCGCCGCGGTTCTGCTGATTGTCGACCAAGTGGCCTCCGCCGCGTTCGTCACGACGCCCGAAGGTAAGCGGCCGTCAGCGACCGATTTTCGTTTTCGTCGGAAAAATCGGAAATCGGTTGTTCCGTATTATGTGGGGGTTCTATTTCACCGCGATTTTACAGACGTCCGAGGACTCTTACGCGGCGGTCGGTTTTACTCTGAAACGTTAAAAAAAAATGATGTGAAAACTCGTCGGAACCGTTACGGTACTATTCCAAATTCGAATTCGTACTAAATCGTCGAAAATACCACACTCGAACGAAACCCCGGGTGTCGATAAACGCGTGCGCGTTACACCGGCGATAGGAAATCAAACGGCATTTGGAAACGCCGACGCGAACGGAGTCTATATCATTTTTACGCTCATTCTTTTTGTCGCGACGATACGCCCGGGAAGTCTCCGGTCGGGCGGTTTCAATTGAAAAACGTGACGCGCGCCGCAAGATGACGCGTGTAATATCGCGCAGACGCGCAAACCCCCGAAGACTTACGGCCGCGGGCGAAATAATATTACCAAAATGGAAACTCGTTCCGTTTTGTTTGTGTATTTCCCCCCCCCCCAGCAATTTATCAGCAACCGACCGAGCGATAGCGACGCTAAACGAATCGTTTCTAGACGATGTCACCGTTGAAATGACGCGCGTTTCGTTTTGCCATTTTTCCCAATTGGGGGAACGGGAATTCGCGTTCACGTTCCCCGTGAATAGGAAACGCTTTCACCGTCTAATCGTTTCTGGACATTTGAAAAGGAACGTTTTCCGAGTTCGGGTGTCCTACGAATGGAACGGCCACTCCCCTATCCCCCTCCCCCTCCCGACACTGAAATCGCCAATATGCCAATATTTGTCTGTTTAAACGTATACGCGTTGGACATTTTTCAGTGGTCGTGATGCGGCTGAAGCGCAGCGCCGAACCGATGCGGTCGTTTTCGTTCAGCGGTTTCAACCCCAACGGTCAGATGGCGGCGTTCACGGGCGCGGCCGAGTACCCGATGTTCGCCAACTACATGCCGCAGCCGTCCCAGTACAACCCGTACGGCTACGACGGGCCGCAGGAACAGGGCGGATCGTACGGCCCGCAACAGGCGGCGCAAAACGCGTACGGGCCGCAGAAGGCGACGCAACAAGACTCGTACGGGCCGCCGCCGTCGGGCGTCGCGGAACAGCAGCCGACCAAGAAACAACAGCCGTACGGCGACGACGCAAACGGACAGGAGTCCGGGCCGAAACCGAGCGGCGTGGCGCCCGCCGATTCCAAGGAACAGATCGGCAACAGCGCGGAACAGGCCGATGACAACAACACCAACAACTACAGCAACAAATACAACAATAACAGCATTAAGAAACAATATAGAGGTGAGCGTTTATGTTATTAGGGGCGATATTATCGGTTGGGGTGGGGGTGTTGGTAATCGTGCGCGAATTTTCGGGGAAATTACCGATAAACACGCGAAATCGTTATTTTTAACCCGGTGCAATTTCCATAATTTCTCGTCCCCTAATCGTAATTTCGAATCGAATCCGGGTGGATCCGGATTAGGAAATCGCTGTCGGAAAACGGGCGTTAAAACCAAAACGGTTACGAATTCGAATGGAATTTCGTATAATTTTTTCATCCTAATCTACGAGTCGGCAATTTTATATTTGCAACGAAATTGTTTTACTATCCGCGACTTTCCATGAATCGCCCTGTCGATTAACGAATTCGGTTAGAGGAGTTGCAAATACCCGCGGACCGAGCGTATGTTTGATGTCCACGGTAATGCAGTGGATGGAGTTTGGTTTATAAAGTCGTACATTTTTCGTTTATTTCTCGCCCAAACAAGTTTTTAGAAATATTTGCATCGGTGCCCGACCGGGGGCGGAAAAGGGGAGGGAGGGGGAGAGTGGTTGAAAACGAGGAAATTGGCCGGTTTACGTGATTCGCGTGCAAACATTTGGTTTCGTGCCCAAACGACTTGCGCGCAAAATGTTGCGAGTAAAATCACGTGCGCTGGTGTAATATTCATTGCCGTCGACCGATCGCATCCGCGGTCTTGGTAAAAATAATACGATATTTTAAGGTTTTCCGTATAATTTCGTCAGCCGCCGTCAAGGTCATTGCCGTCGGCGTGACCGGATAACACAGTGTGTATTGTAGGCGGGTAGAGAACGACGGGAGAGACTAGTCGGAAGTGGTTTGAGAAACGAGAAGAGACGGTGGTCGGCCACTGTAAGAACAGTTTTACGGTTACAGTTTTGTCCCGGAAGGGTATGGACGAGGAGATTATCGAAATGAACACGCCAAGACGGTTATGGACAGGATTGTAAGTGACGGTATGAGGACGGTCGGGATGTATATTACGGATGACGCGGGAGACCGAGTGAAGCAGAGATTTAAAACCGACGTGACTGAATAGTCAAGAAATATAGAGAAGAGATTTTGTACGCCAGGTGTTCCCTTTGACGGAGACGGCTCGATAATTGCGCAGAACCACCAGCAATATTTAAACGTATCGTATTGTTTTAAGCCGGACATACGCGTTGCACCGCGCGAACAGGTTACCGTCGTATTAGTTGGGAAGGTAGGGGCGATTCGGCTTAGAGATATTCTGTGTGCAAACCATTGTAAACGATAAACGATTCTGAGCGACGTCCGGAAATCCGCAAAAATCGAAAAAGAACCGACGAGAGTTTCGATAGTTTTCGGGTTACAGCGCGGCGGTCGCGCGAACGTCTTCAATAACGGAAAACGACCTTTCCGAGGGTGGCTGGCTGACCGGAGGGAAGGGGGGGGGAAATACACGTTTCGTAAAACGTTCAACAGCTCTGCCCCGTTGTCCTCGGGACAAACACTAATCTAATGTTATCGATGTATTTTATTTTTATTTTTTTTTTATTTTTCTTTTATCAACGACCGCTTTTGTACCGCTATCGTTTCGTTCCGAACAGGTAAGGAGGGCCCGAGCAGTAACGCGGAAGCTTCGTTCAACGCGTGGTTCCCGATAATGTTCGGGGTGTTCCCGAACGGCGCGCAAGGCGCGGGCCAACAGTCGGGCGGCCCCGACCGCAGTGACAAGAACGACCAGGCTAATCAGCCGCAGCAGCAGCAGCAGCAAGGAGGCAACGGCTACGAGAGACTGGGAGGAGGAACGACGGTGATCGCCAACAGCGTGAGCAACGGCCGGAACGGCGTGGCCACCAGCCACGCGATCGCGTACGGAAATCCCCGGTCGTCGTCCAAGTAATCGGCCGGCGATGTTGTTTATAATAGCGTTCTACTGTTGCATTGCATCGTCGTCGTTGTCCGCATTGCTGTACGGTTGTGTAATGTTGAACGGGGAAAAAAAAGAAAAAAAAAAAACCCATATAAGAAAACATAGAAAAAAAAATTTAAAAAAAACCAAAAAAAAAAACAAAAAAAAAAAAAAAAAAAAAAAAACAATGGTAGTGCTTGTTGCGGCGCCGGTATCGCCCGCATCGGTCGAGCATTTCCATGACGCAATATCGCATACGTATAAAAAGCAACACGGCGTTATTATAACACTAACGGTTATGGGTCGGGCGGAATAGGCCGACTACATTATTATTATTATTAAATATATTGTACACCTCGTAGCATTATTGTACTATCAAAAAATTTACAAATATATAATATGATCAATAATGTAACGTGTATTTATTTATTATTAGTATTCATTTGTTTTTTTCTTTTTTTCTCAAATTACTTTATTGAATCCTAGGCGCTGACCCGACAATGTTTTGCTATTGCCAGACAACAGCAGATAATATTCGTTTAATAATAATTATAACAGTTTTTTTTCGTCGTCCAAGTCACCAAGGTAACCCATCAATAAACAATTTGATATTCGTATCGGAAATACATGAGAAAAAAAAAAAAAAAAAACGCTATTTTACCTTCTAAAGTATTGCGTTTTAAAAAATACTTTTTTAGCGGATGCCAAATTTCAGCACGATCCGTGTAGTGGTTTGAGCTAGGCGATGATGAATCAGTTGGTCAGTAAGTCAGTCAGTCAGTCAGCCGATCAGTCAGGACATGTATGTATACAATTATTGTAAAAACGATTCATTTTTTTTTTACACAATATTTAAATTGAATTTGAGCGTCCGCCACTTGTTATGATAAGTGACAGTTTATTAGGATTTTTTAACGTTCTTAGTCATCGTACGACATCATCGACGTTCAACGTCGCGTCGATTTAATTGTAACTATTCACGGGTATCTGCGTTCCAACGGTTTAGAAGACAAACAAATCATTTCTATCTCTACACTTGGACATACATTTTGAAACAGTTGCACTTAATCATTGTTTATAATTTAGAAATTATGTATACTCCTATGATAAAAAAATACGTTTGTAGGGGTGCGTGTAGAATCGCCATAGGTAGCTTTTTTTTTTTTATGCGTGGACTATAAATTTCTGAATCCTGTGGGTGGACGGAGCCCTACCGTGACAACGCCTATGTCATTGATATTTATATCGATTTTTATGTAAGTACAACGTGTTTTTCCTAATCCGGGGAGACTATTTTCTGAAAGAACGATCAAACGAACACGTCTAAGTACTCTTATTATTTACGGTAAAATTGTCCAACCCTTTTAGTTTAAGTCTTTGAAGTCCGCGGGTGGATGCTTCGGTTATTGTCGTCGTCTCTCCGAAGTTCTGTGAAATATCTACATAAAATATTCTTTAAAATATTATTGAATTAACAAGAACACAAAATGTCAAAACCTTTAAATAAATTGTATTAAAAGGGAAAGACTATGCAATTATAAGAAGTTTATGATATGACACTATATTATAAAACATTAATTGATATTTAGTACGTGCCGTGTACGCGGAATTCACATAAAATGCATGCATTTCTGCAACAAGATACTGTTTTGCTTAACTAAAACTTTGTTATTTAAAAGGCGAGGCTTGGAGTTCTTAATCTTGTGATGTTCGAAATAGTAGTACGTATAATAAGATAAATGTTTTATTTTGTATTTTTAGCGAGATATTTCTGGCATTTTCAATTGTAATTGGGAAAAAACGAGTAGACACTGAGGAAAATGGGAAAACGTACGAAATATATTAGTAAAATACTTCGGCCTTTTTTTTCCTGTCAACAACTTTTCTACCAATAATTTCGCTCCGATCTACAATTATTACACTTTTACTGAAAGAAAATCCGCCTGGAAAGGTATATTAAGAAGATAATATTTTGATTTTCCCAATAGTTTTCTTAACAAATGTGAAAAACTTTGTTCGCCGGAAGAAAAGGGCCGTAATATTTTACTAAACATTTGTACATTTTTCCATTGATTCCTCTGTTTTTCTGCGGACTAACGTTTTAAGTAAAATATAAAATTAAACAAATAATTTTTACTGTCAGAAAACATAGGATGGCTAAAATGTGTTTCCCCGCGAAATGTCCAAATACGGTCCTTTATTTTTCTACGATTAAGTCTACAATACTATTTGTACAAAAATGAAATGAATAAATTATAACGTATACAATTTCCATTTTTCCATTAGTTAAGCCACGACTTATACGAAAACGATTCTAGAAACAACTTTTATGCGACACCAACGCTTAAGTCCAAGTCCATTCATCACTGCGCATAAGATTCTTTTGCGTTTTATATAATAGTATAATAATAATAATAATAATAATAATAATAATAAGACGTCTTGATTTATATTTTATTTTTTCAAAAAAGAAGAGAATAACATTGGCCCGGCAGCATTAAGCGCACAAAAGCGATACACAAGCCCTTTTAACTTCTGAGATGCTTTTGTCAGGTATCTCTCGCCACGCTAAGCCCCGCGAAAGACGAAGAGACAAATGTATATATATATATATATAAAAAGGTATGCTCTTAATAGACAGATCGAGTCCCTTTAAGCTCCGGGACCTTTTTAAATTATGATCTACCATCGTCATTGCCGGTGCAGGTAGGTAGGTGGTAGCGGTAGTACGGTCGTGAAGACGGCGGCGGTGGCAAGAGTCACGCGCTTCTAATTATGAATTCGCAACCGGGGATGGACAAACGGGTGAAGAAATGATCGTGGGAAGGGTGAGAGTGAAAGAAAAGAGACGTGGGTTTAGAGCTTTTGTGATGGAAAACGGCGGAAAATATTAACAAGTAAAAGATTTGAACAGACGGCGGTGCACAGGAGAGGCGCCGAAGGGATCAATTATGAAGGAGGATTACTATATAGCAGTGTACCAAAGGATGGGGTTGATGATGAAGGATGTCGTTTAAATTTCATTAATGTCAGTCTCCGTTTTTATTATATATATATACCTACGTAATAACAGGGTGACGCGAGTGTAGAAGGGTAGGGTAGTAGGAAATCGCCGTGATGGTGAAAAGGTTTTTTTTTTTTTTTTGCTTCTATTCCGCACTCTCCGATCCGTTACCGTCACTACTTTCGCTCGGAAGAGGGAGGGTCTCTTAAGAATTTATTTCGGTCTCATGCACATACACACACACACACACACACACACACACACACACAAACAAGCGCAAAAATAACGATATATTAACGAACAATGGCCGTGAATCGTTTTCTTAAATCGTCATTCATATAAAATATGTAAGCCACACCGCCGTCGTACAACCTAAATGTCCGTATTTTTTATTTTCAGCCAAGTAAGGATTTATTACTATGTGTATGCGCGTTTTTTTATGCATGTGAACTATTATGATAAAAAAGAAAAACTTGTTCCAAACATCAACATAAAGAGTGGTCATTGGTCTCTGAGATATTCAGTATTTCTTTTTGATTTTTCGTTTAGTTTTTCGAAAAACAAGAAAATATAATCGACAATGGTTTTTTTGGATTTAATTTTATTATTTTAGTTATATATTCAGTTTAAAATAACCACATTTTTATTGAACACTGGTATTCAGATTTTAGATTTTCTAAACGTGATATAATTTTGGAAATCTTCTAGAATTATTCGAGTTTTGTTTAATGTTTAAAACTGTTTAGTTTTGTTTTTTTTTTTTATTATTTTGTTATATAAAATTATTTTGCTTCGTTAAATTGCTCGAAAATTTGATGAAAGACTCATCATATTCAGTTGTTTTTATAGTAATATAAAAAAAAAAAAAATCAAAAATCCGTAGTTACGATTTTTTGTCATAAGCGTTTGAAATTTAATTCTTTGAGAACACTAAAAATGAAATGTATATCTGCGTAAAACAAAAAAAATAATTTAATAATCTAATGTTTTTTACACACTACAACACAACAGCGAAATGATAATAAACAAGCTTTTATCTTATCGTATCGATGCCGATAAGCTTCATTTAGTCCCATTTTCATACGGATATTTCCGATAGTTGAACTTATACTTGCGTTTATTAGATGAAGTTATAATTTAATGTGCGCGAAGACAATATTTATTTTTCACTTTAATTATACTGCTCATTATAAAAATTAAGTGGTTATTTTTTTTTTTTAATTTATGGGGGGGGGGTGAGTTTTTGAAAATATAAAAGGGGCGTTGAGAACAAAAAGGTTGAGGAACACTGATGTAATGGTCATAACATCATTTGTGTAATATTTTTAGCGCCTGAAAACAAACGCAGTAGTACCACAATACTTACTTGTGTGCACTGAAATGAAAACTTATTTAATTTTCGTTTGCATGAATTATTATTGTACACGAGAGAAATTACAATAATTTAGATTCTAAACGCAACAAGGAAGTTATTGGTTTTGCTATTATATTTTTGGTTTTTTCGTCTTGATCGACTTTTTTAATAGAGCTATAATATATTTTTTGGTAATAAAACGTTGTCTAGTTTACGCGTAAAAAAGTAGGTTTTTAAAATTATTTTTTGGTTTTTCGAATAATTGGGAAGAACAGGAGAAACGAAAAAATGTATGACAGTATTGGATTATTTATTTTAAATATTGATTTTTTGGTTGTTATCGGGTAAAAATAATCATAGAAATCTGAATTTTTCTCAAAATACATACATTAGTACTTTCTAGATGTAATTAAAATTTGTTTGTATATTTCAGTTATTTTAGGCTATTCATAGATATTTGAAATGGTTGAGTTTCTTTATAATTTTAATTTTGTATTATGTAAACAAAATGGTTTTTGGCTAAACAGAAAAGCTAGACAATTATATTGAAGATTCAAGTTAAGTTTTACTTTGTAGTAAAAGATATGAAACTTGGGCGTAATTTAGGTAGTAATTTCTGTTTATAAACATTGAAAGTTTAAATTTGACGAAAGTTATAAAAATAACGTAATTCTAAAACATGCTTAATCGAACTTAGAATCGTTTTTGGATATCGTTGATTTATCGTGGCATGCAGATATAAACTTAAATTACTCTATAAATCCTAATTTTCCGACTTTTCATAAACAACTGCAGAGGCATACCCGTAAGCAGTACTAGGATAAAAAAAGTTCCAGAACAAAATGTTAGGAAAAAAGCAATATTATTATTAAAATTATTGATAATTATTATGATGATGTTTTGATTATTATTATTTAAGTGATCATTCAATAATTTATTGTCGATCATGCTTCTTAATAAAATGCTGATTTAATGATTGTTATTAAAATGCTCATTATTGTTATTGCTGATTATAATTATGATTTTTACAGTGCTTATTATTTTTATTATTATTTTAGATTTACTTAGATTTTAGACAGTTTTAAATTTTCTCAACAATTGTAAAGAGCCGAAAATAAACCGAGGAAAAACAGGAATACGTGCGAAATATAGGTGTTAGTTAAATAAGACATAATGTTTTTTTTGTATTTGCGAACAACTTATCTAACTAAAATATTCCTCCGATTTATAACGAATGCACTTTTTCAGAAATGGAATTTGTTTGAGGAGGTACTTTAAGCAGATTACTTTTTGATTTTCCCAGAAGTTTTCCCGATAAATGGGAAAAACCGGAAAAAAACAGAGAAATAACTGGAAAATCTATAAATATATAGTACCTCCCTAAGGTACCTCTCAAGTCAGAATTCCTTTTAGAAAAAGTGCTATTATTGTAAATCGGAGCAAGATTTCTGGTATAAAAGTTGCGCAATGTGCATAGATAAAAAAACATCGTAATATTTTATAAACATATTTCGTACATTTTCCCGGTTTTCCTCCGTTTTTTTTTTTTCGTTTTTTCATATTTTATGAGAAAACTTCTGAGGAAATGGAAAAATGACCTACCACCCCAAGAAAACTTCCTTTCAGAAAAACAATCTACATCGTATACGTTTGAGCAAGCTTTCTGGTAAAAATTGTTAAAAAAAAAAAAAATAAAAGTAAACATCTTCGTAAAACCAATACATACATTCTTCGTTTGGACCAGAATCTAAAATTACAATAATAATAACGGGCACTTTAAAAATTATAATCATAATCGGCATTTTAATAAGAAACATAATAGGTAAGGTTATATCAGTCAATCAGCAATGGTAATAATCAGCATACTTATAAAAACCATCAATAATAACATTAATCAAAACGAATACCCTCATTAAATTTATGAACATGATTATTGTCGGTTATTTTATCAAAATGCTAATTACATTATTTGGCCGAAAGCGGCGATTTATTAAGGGGCAGTGTTTAGGCAATTTCTAATCTCATAGTTCCCGCCAATTATCTGTGCTAGTTGTTAATGATCACTAATGTGCGAGCGTGTATCCGCCACCCATCGCGTCGTCATCGTCAGCGGGTAATAGCCAGTAGGTCGCATTGTTGTCAATATTTTATTTTTGTATTTATTCCAAATCGGGTTACTGTGTTCTGTTCTTGCTGTTACTGTATGGTTCGTGGATAAAAGTCTAAAATAGATACTCAAATAATTATTATTGTCATAATTTTTTTTATTTCCACAAAACGAAAAGTGCTGGTTTTTATCACGGCCCAGCCAAATTAGACGGGAAATAGTCTTCAGCCCGGAACTATAAGATATGCTTATATATATATATATATAAGGAGTATATCTTAGTTCGTGTTTTCAGCTCGGAGAAATGCCCAGCAAGTTGAATTTGGGTCCACACCTTTAATACATTAAAATACCGATTAAAACTATTATTGTTGTTGATTAATATTATTAAAAGTATTGATGATTATTATGAATCTGATTTGATTATTGTTATTGCTATTATTATTTTGGATTCTAACTGCAGTGAATAATGTATAGGTTTTAAAAAGATGTTTATTTTTTTATATTTTAGTATGTAAATACCTGTTTTAATAGAAAACATGCTCCGATGTATACGATGTAGATCATTTTCTGAAAATAATTTTTCTTTGGGTGTCACTGTAGGAAGGTCGGTTTTCAATTTTCTCAACAAATGTGAAAAACCGAGAAATGTACGAAAGGCAGTTATTAGTTAAATTTTTTTTTCCTGTGAACATCGTTTTTCACATTTTTTGAGAAAACTACTGGGAAAATCGGAAAACGACCTTCCTGAAGTATCTCCCTAATCAGATTCCCTTTTGAAAAAAGTACTATCATTTTAAATCGGAACAAGATTCCTTGTAAAAAGGTTGTACACAAATTTAAAAAAAAAAGAAAAAAAATCATCGTAAAACCATAAGTTTCTTCGCTCCACTAAGAATCTAAAACTATCTAAACTCCCTAATTTATTGCTGTGGATTTCTAATTATCGTACAATACACTTATATTTTTTGATTTTAAAAGAAGATTTCGGGGATATTCACGACTTTCCAACTTGTCTTTCACGTACAGATTCATTTTTGTTTTAAATTCGGAGAATTTTATTTTAACTTTAATACAGGGGTTTTTTTTTTCTTTAATTTCCGTCAGGAGTATATTTCTAAATATTACTATTAATTGCGAATTGTTCAAATAGTAAATTATTACACCACTCGGTCAGAAATAAATTGTTTTTAAAAATCACACGCCGTTACTAGGCACTAGCGCATTTCCACTTCGATACGAATCCTATTACGATGTACAAAACAAATAACACCATTTTTTTAGTTATCATTTGATATTTTCAAGACTATACATTAGTGTTTTTAAAACAATATAAAATGAATAATCTATATCGTTGTCCGTAGAATATTTTCTGCAGTCGTTGTTTTTTCTGTAAAATTATCTCAATATTTTAATTTGTAACCGAACAGTTTTATTTCGGATGTATATCATGAGATGCGTAGAATATTCCATTACACTAGCGGATGAAAAGCTGGACGTTAAAAGCCAGCCAAAGTAATTGAGTCAGACCCTTTGAATACGATACCGAGGAACAAACGGAGAAAGTACGTCTACATAATGAAATCATCTGTGAGTGTCTTTAGATAAAGGTTAATTGACTACCTAGTAAAATGTCACGGTTTTATTAATGTAGCTAAACGAATTATTTACGTTCGATAATATTTTTAATTTTCTAATAAAACGTGCATATTGTGGAAATTATGGACCATAATTTTGTACTGAAAATTACGAAAATGAAAACTACTAAGTTTTAGAAAATGTAAATATTTGTATAGAATTTGATATAATATCAAGGCCACGGACGTAAAGAGAGTTCTTAAATACATAGGGCTTGAGACCAATGTCGCGGGCGTGTTTTAAAACTTAAATTCGGGTACACTTATGACCGAATTCGGAAATATTATACACAGTCATTTGCATAAGTATATTTATTGTTGAAAATATTCAAACGTTTTTAATTTATGTAAAAATCTATCCGGCGCGAAGGTACTTGCAGATGATAGGGATAAGACTCGTCTGAAAATGCGTTCTCGGCGACCGGTATGTATACCCTGGACCCCCAAACTCGATATGCTTAGTCCGCGTTTTTCTCGACAACTATATGTTGTCGGACAATAACGTCACCCGTTTGGCCCCTAATATCCGGGTCTTGCTAAATGCGCGCATAAGTGTTCCATCGGCTATTGTCATGATTAATGGTTTACACGTTACATTAATATTCGAAATATTCAACTATGCGATTCTTATTATAGCCGTGGCGCGGTTTCTCTGCGCATTGTTTGTAACAGCACAAGGGCCACCGGGCTAAATAATAATAATTTAAAATCTATTAATAAGTTAAAAAATACCAATATCAAAACTTTGGTTTGTTATAATATTAGGTGCATATATATTATTTCATACGTAATAAATATTATTAGTGATATTTGTATATTTGGACGACGCGGCGTAATTGTACGCGGCACCCACGTGGCTGCATGACGATACGTGTGGGCGGTAACTGTTTATGGAAGGTGTGATGAACTAGTGATGGGCAATACCGAGCAAAACCTATCGAACTATTCGATAGTTTTAAATTATCAATTTACTCGGTGGTTTTTTAAACTATCGGTAGCAAAAACTAGTCGGTGCTACTACTCAATGAACACTATCGACTAATTCATTCGACAGTTACGTCCATCACTAATTGGAACGTAAAAAAGAAAATTCAATAAAAACCTACCTACATATTATTACTGTTATTATATTTTCAACTATTATCATTGATTAAATTATACAATTTATTATAATAAAGATTATCTATACATTAAAATATCTTAGGGAGGGCTGAAGACGGCTCAGAGAGGGCTAGGCCTTCCTAAGCTCCCCCTACTTATGTCCATGACCGAGTCGTAGCGTAGAGAATAAGTGTTCGTCAATGAGACCAAATTTAGCCAACTATCTGTATTATATTATACTATTATGTACATTTATTGTACCGATGCAAAAAATGTGATCCAAAAAGGTATACATTAAAATAAATGCACCTGAGCATTTTTGGCAAATAAAAAAAAAAAAACATAGTTACATCAATTGCTCCATTAAAATAATAATTAAATTAATTGCAATATTACACGAAATTGTTTTATGATAAATGATTCTAAATTATTTATTAATTATTAACTTATGATTCATAAGTCATTTTTATAGCACTACAAAAGTATTGGAAATCTGTAGTCACGCTGTTTTTGTTATAAGTATTTAAAGTTCAAATTTTGAATTAATGGGGTTACAAATTATTGGCTCCGTAAAAATAGTTTAAATTTAAAAATCAGTGTTGTATTGAACGTCGCATCAAACACACGTATCACGCTCCTTAGCGCTATCGCAACGGCCATTCTACTTTTATCAATATAACTGCTCATTAAAATGCTACGTTAAATAATTACATAAAAACCGACCATGTCTCGAAATACTGATTAGACAAAACGTAATTTATCATCGTTTTCGTCATCATTGTCGTCTCTGAGTTCTACTGATAAAATATCCAAAATTGCTGTCACTCTAAACCGATATGCCTCACTATCTAAGGACATTGATTCACCACCCGATGTATTCAGCTCCCCACCAGTCCCAGATACGCCTCCCATAAAAGGCAAAGTCACAGTCGATCCACCGCCTCCACCGGTGGCCAGTTCTTCAGATTGGGATACCTGTAAGTGACCATAAATATATATCAAAAACCTGACCAATTCCAATCAGCTAAAGTGCGATATCATTTCTGTCGTGGGATAAAGTGGGTTCACCTTGAGTTCCTAAAAATTTCAACCAATAACTGTAACCATTGCAAAAAACTTTTGAATTATCTCTTGGGGACAGATTACATACTTATACACCTCGCTTCATCCACCCAATCGTTGCGATAATTTACCGCCTCCATCATTCTACTCCCGTAGTAGATATTGAAGCGGCCCTAACCAAACTAAGTTTCTCCGTTTTAGGCGTTGAAGATATTTTAAATAGTGCCAGAAAATTTCCAATGTCATTTTTCACTATTAATCTTGCAAACAACGAGTTTAACTTTGATGGTTTTAAACTAACAAAGCTACTTCATTTCAAAGTCATCATCGAAAAACCAAAAGAAATTCGTCATCAGACACAATGTAAGTGGTACCAATCATAAGGGGCCAACGTTTCGATATTGTTCACATATTCTTCGTTGCGTTAAATATAGCCTGAACCGTTTAACCGAAGAATGCAACAAGTCGCGCGACTTACCGGGCAAATGTACTTAGTGCTCTGGCACAAATACCGCTAATTATAAAGGATGTCCTACGTACAAAAAGGCAAATTGTTTCACGATAATAAACATTCGTCTGGTTTAAATAAAATATACCTTATACTCATATCGTTCTCAAAGGCTCCTCCACCTGAGTTCTCAAATACTTAAGCCAAGCCCAGAATTAGATCATATGCAAAAGCTGTCACAAACAACAATCCAACATTAAATTCCGTCTCATCAATCTTGTGAAAATGTATTACTAATTTATATTCTTCAATTGAACCACTAATATCTCTCCTCACCACAAGCACGCTATACTCTATGGTCTGTAACATTTATTTTTGTTTATTTCTACTTAATTATTATATTTCCTATTGTATCTATTGTACCTAATCGCATTGAAATTTCATTCTGTTTATTTTAATTAGTCTCATTAGGTATAATTGTATGAACGATATAAATTTAATTTATTACCCTAATGTTATTGTATGTTCGAATATTACCTTATACATTCACTATGCATATCGATATTCTTAATAATTGTTCAACTGTCATAATTTTAGCTAAATAATCTTAAATAAAATAAAACAATAAGTTCAACAATTTAAAACATAATGGACGGAATATAGTTAGTTACAGATTATTACGATTTCCAATTTAAGTTTCGGTAGCCCTAACGTGTTTCGGACAAAAAACATACGATCAACTTTTAGGAAATATAACATGTGACGTTATACAAATACAAATATAATAAACATTAATATATAATATTATATTTTCATACACAATTGTACCTACTTCATTAGCTATTCAATATCAAAGTTATAATACTAAACACATTAATATATTAATCTTAATAGTTAAATTTAATTTAAACATTAAAATCCTATCAAGTATACAATGGAATACATAAAAAAAAAAAAAAAAACCGAGAAATCTGAGCATTAACTTTATTGGTAAAAAAACAAAAAAAAAATCGATCGGATTTAAAAGTAACCCGGTTACCGGGAGCCGGGACTCATACAAATTCGAATCCTTCAAATTTAATATCGGCTACTTTGGTTGGCTTATAGAGTACACTTCCGTTAGTGTTGAACGCTATAATGTGCGTTTCGTTGGTGATTTCTGAAGTTTGCAACGCGACAATTACTTGGTCTTTGGTGTAGGGCAGAAACTTGAAACTAGAATAGCCGCGATCAGTGTAGACCTCAGTGATATTGCCTTCTTTCTAAAATATTTAAACGAAAAACAGGCGAGTTAACGGTTATATTTTATAGTTTACCCACTATATATATATATATAGGTATCTACGTTATATATTATAATGCCAAAATTATATCGTAAGCAACGTGCAATAAGTATAATTAAGTAGTTCAGTACGTGCGTCAACGCACCTGACCTATGATGGTCCGATAAACAATAACTATTGTAATGTGAAATATTAACCTCACTGTGCCAGTATTTTTAATTTTAATTTAAATCGCTATTTTCTTGTTATCAATATTAAATCAATAAAGGTGTTACCTTTACGTGTCGTTTAATTATTCTAATATCGTGTTTTAATTTTAATTTATTAAACGCGATGCCTGTAACTACCAAATTATTTTTGTTAATAATAATATTATAATGTATTCACCTGAACTTCTTTGAAATCTGGCGATGCGGACATGATTAGGTTTAAGCCTTGTTGTCGATCCTTGATTCGGTCGTAAGCACTATTTGACGCCGTTTTGGGCAAGAAAAAAAACTTGTTTTGCTCCTTGCTCCACTCGCACGATTCGAAGGTCATGTACCCATCCTTTTTTATTCCTGCCACATCCTTGATTTTATCGAAATTTTTAGACCAATCCTCGAACGTAATTTGCTTATTTCTGTTGATGATTGCCACAAATTTTGATTGGCCAATACCGTTGGGACCCACAAACAGTGACCCGTCCTTCACCGTGGCCCATTCTATGTTCATCGCTTTTTAACAAAACGCATCATCGTAAATATATGTATATGTATATATATATATTATAATTCAGATACCAAAATCGAGTCCAAACATGTTTAAATGAAATCATTGAACATTTTAAAATTTATCATTTTGGAAAAACAAATTCAACCGTCCCAGGAAAATCATGTCAGAAAAAAGTTCTTCTTACAGAACAATTTGCAATCATAAAAAAATTGCCAAATGTTCATGTAGATGCAGAGTTGTAGAATAATAAAAGAAAAACGATATTCAAAAAGAATAAAACCACATGGCCTATTAGCTTATAATATATTAACGATCGATATTTATGCTCGATGTATTATATATAATGACGGGAGATAAACTAACCGAATTAGATTGTTAATATTAGGTTGAGGTAACCAAATTATTAGGTTATTATAAACTATTAATACCTTTAGAAATGACAAAAAAACGAAATTATGCACATTGCATTATTATCTAGACGTGTCCAGACTGACGGTGTAGGTACTTCCACATACCTAGTCATTATAAAAATATACTCAGGTTTACCGAAAATTTAAATAATAATACTAAACTGTAATATTTACCTATAATTTTTTTCAATTTATGGTTTCCATGATCTTGTTGCGACGATGCTAAATCAAATTAAATATTATTCAACGTATATTAGCACGAGGTCGTTTCCTTACATCGAAAATTCTATTTTGTGATTATTTGACATTTTCAATTTACCGTCGGAAAATGCATCAGATGAATATTATTTTCTTATTTTAGAATGAATAATACAAATTGTCTCAACCAAATACTATTAGGAATGGCAACAGGGTGGAAATGAAGTGATATAGTTTTACATTATTGAATTTTTTAATAAAAACTTAATAATCCTTACCCTTAATAAACTCCTTAATTATTGACAAAATATTTGTCTAAGTTAAATTTAAGATTAAATTATAATTTTTAATATTTTATATACATAACTAAGAAGCTATTACTTTTTAGTAATACTACGATGTGTCTTAAGTTCTTGGGAAACACTTTTTCGGATAATGTAACCTAGTTGAATGCTTCAAATTAAGTCATTATACCTCTGACGAAATAAATAGGCGTGTCAGCAGTCAGCACTTTTGTGATACGTACCGGAAGTACCACTCTTCACATAGTTATAATCGTAGTTCTCAGTTTCTCATTGACTGTGTACTTATTATATGAAATAACGTTTTTGTGATAGTGTCGTACTTCGGGATTTCTATCATATTTCATAATATGACAAAAGAAAAAAATTATTTAATTTATACTATAATTCTATTTTTATTTATATATTTATTTCATGATTTTAAATTTTGAATGCGAAGAATGTATTAGTTTTATATAGATGTTTATTTTTTATTTATTTTTTTTTATATTGTGTACACAAATTCTACCAGAAATCTTTCTCCGATATATACGCGTGAAATAATTTCTGAAAGGAAATATTGTGCATATGGTACTTTTAAGAGGTCATTTTTTGATTTTTCAAGTAGATTTCATAATATTTGGGAAAAAACCCGGATAAAACATAAGAAAAATGGGACATTTACGAAAATTATGCTTTTGTTATTTTTTAAATTTTGTTACATTGTTATAATTCAGTTAAAAATATTTGTAGAGACTTAAAATATGTACAGAAAACGTATATTTACCTTTTCTAGTTGTCGTAAAATTTTCAAAAAAATTAAGCCATTTTTGAGCCATTTATAGACATTTAAATATTGTGAGTTTTGTACGTAATTTTTATTCGGTAAGTACTATGTGGTAAAATTGTTAGAATAAACATAAATGAGTGAAAAATTAACAGGGGGTTCATTGAAAGTCTTACTTTGTGATGAAAAAAAAAATTGGGTTTAATGTAGTATTTTTTTTTTAAAGGAGTATTAATATCAAATGTTGAAGAAAACATTTCGAGTAAAAAATTATGTGGAATAAATCTAATTTTTCATTTATGAAAAACCCCAAAAAAGTCTAATTAAAAACTGACAAATTTACGGCATTATGATAAAATTATTTTAAACTCTAAGAATCTTAATTGTTGCATTATTATTTAATTGATTACTAATGGGGGACTTGTTTATTAAATAACAATTGACATTAAAAGAACCACCGAAAAACTCAATATAATTATATATTTTATATTTATTTTGTTTTGTGATGAGGTTGTTTACCTAAAGATATTCATTAAATAACACAGACATTCCAAAAACACCGGAACTAAACAAATAAAAATACCATAAAGGTGTTGTATAAGATTGTATCTTACCTGCTGATTGACCTTGTGCAGTGACTGCAGAATTAGCACCGGTATTTTCTGAAGTTTTTTTCTTTAACGCTTCTAATTCATCTTTTTTTTCGGGTAAATGTAAACAAATAACAATTAAAATAGAATGCAAATTAATAATTAATTAATGTATATTTTCATAATAACAAGCATTGGGTGAAAGACGCTTTTTTTTACGATTTGGTTTGCAATAACATTATGCTGGATGATCACTTATATCAACTTCTATTATCGATGTTGCTATTGAATGACTTATAAATCCAACGATGTCTTGATGTATCCCCCTTCCCTCAATGACCAATGATACAATTTATAAAAAGGAGTTTAAAAAAAATTGAATCAAAAATCTTAAATATTAAGAGCTTTAAAACAATGTAATCACTAACACACAAACTCTAAAGTTCTTAAAGAAATCTATGCTGTATAACTAAATATAAAACAAAACAATTGTAACTAATGGCTATTGTAACCAATGTTAAAAAATTGATCAGTAAAAAAAAAAAAAAAAAATTGAAAGGTAATTCGTTTTAAATTGTTTTGTTAGCATTAATTTATCGTTCCTTACAGATATAAATTAAATAACTTTATATATCTTACCATTAATATTAATTCTGGACCATCTATCTGAGTGTTCCTTCATTTCTGAAATGATTTTTTATCTAGTTAGTGTATCGAGACATTTTTTTTTTTTTTGATGTTTCAAAGGGATTTCATAATAATTGGGAAAAACTTGAAAAAAAATTATTGGTAAAACTGCAAATAAAAACGACACACCGCATGACGCAGCGTTACTGTTTTTATTAATTTTTAATTTTTGCAAACTATGTTTTTTAACACAAATATTACTCCAATCGAAAAATGGCATGAGATCGATATTATTGTGCCTAATGCATAGTCACTGATGATAAAGGTAATTTTTGATACGAGTGAACTGTCTACATTATAAACGACACTATGGCCTATGCCCGTCACGGGTAAATTTCAATTTTAAAGAGTTTGTAGTCACCGTCCGTCTAGTGTGCAACACATAAACGAATTTCGACGAAGACCTGTTGGTATATATTATTCTTATTTTTTCTCACAATAGTCTTATGTTAGGTTCTGAGTAAAGTGAGGAATGGTTTTATTGGTTTTATAACGATGTTTATTTATTATTTTTTTCCAGCGATTTGGCTTCGATTAACAATGATAGCATTTTTTCCGAAAGGAAATCTAACTGGGGTGGTACTTTAAAAAGGTTATTTTTTGATTTTCCAAGCTAAATTCATAATAAATGGGAAAAAACGTATGAAAAACGGAAAAATAGACAACCTAAGAATCGTTTTTTCTTTAGCGATGGGTAATCGTTACTTACAGGTGTACATTCAAATACCTATAACAGTGGCTGCACCAGTCCCGTTATCCTATGCCAGTTTCTTTTGAAAAAAAAATAATAATTTTAATAAGAAATTTAAACCAAAATTGTAAATATTACAGCCATTGAAATTGTATAACCGAACTTTTTTCTGAAACGTTTTTCTTAAGCATTGATTTATCATTATTTACAGATATTAATAAATTATTAATATATCCAATATTCCAACTTTCCGCTTAAACCAGTGACACACCGGTCCTTATAATCTGCATTTATTTTTTTTTACTATCATTTTATTAGAAAACATAATAATAATATCAAGGTGTTAATTGTATTTTTACCTTGTGGTGGTTGACTGGTATTTTCTGAAGAAATTTTCGCCTCAATTGTTTCATGTTCATTTACGAGTTCTTGAATAGAATAAATAACCATAATAATAAAATATAAATTAATCAATATTTAAAGCGTATTTTCACTATGACAAGCTATTACGTCAAAGATACAATTTTATTACTATTTTTGTATTCAACAATATTATGCTGGAACTTATAATAAATTCTACTAGCGATGTTTTTATTGAATGATTTATAAATCTAACGATGTCTTGACGTATACCCCTACCCAATGACCAATGATACAAATTATAGATCCTTTCATTATTTTACACATTATAATAGGTATACGGGTTGTTCATCGGCCGTGTTTATTGAGTAACATAATGAACACGCAGGTGTTCATGTTTCAATAGTAGAATATTTAGGAAATATTAATTTTGTAATTTATTTACTGATAATAATGTCCATACTTGTTTAAATATTTATTATTTTATTTAATCATGGATATTTTTATGAAGGGGTCAGTTTGAATTAGTAAGACACTTTAATTGTGTTAAAAAAATTATTCTGATGCTAGTTTTTGTCATATTAACAACATAATTAAAGTAGGTATTCAACATAAATCAAATCCATGATTTTATGTAGCGGAGCAAAAGATTTTTTCGATTCTATGGTCGAAATAAGGTATCATTTATCAATTTAAAAATTGGACATTTTAAGAACCATCGAAAAACTCAACACAAGGCTTATTGTATTTTGAGATGAGGTTGTTTACTTAAAGATATTCATTAAATAACACAGGAATTCCAAGAATGCCAAAACTAAACATATAAAAATACAATAAAAATGTTAATTGTATCTACTTTACCTATTGATTGACCTGGTGAGGCGAATTCAGAACTTGAATCGGTATGTTCTGAGGATGCTGAAAGCTTCAAATTTCCTCCTTCTTTTTTTGCGGGTAAATGTGAACAAATAACAATTAAAATAGAATGGACATTAATAATTAATTAATGTATATTTTCATAAAAACAAGCATTAAGTGAAAGACGTAATTTTTTTCCGATCTGGTTTGCAACAATATTACGCTGGATTATCACTTATATCAACTTCTACTTACGATCTTGCTACTGAATGACTTATAAATTCAACGATGTCTTATGTATCTCCCTTTCCTCAATGACCAATAATACAATTTATAACAAGGAGTCAAAAAAAAAAAAAATTGAATCAAAAATCTTAAATATTAAGAGCTGTAAAACTATGTAATCACTACCACACAAACTGTAAAGTTCTTAAACAAATCCATGCTGTATAACTAAATATAAAACAAAAAAATTGTAACTAATGGCTATTGTCACCGATGTTAAAAAATTGATCAGTAAAAAAAAAAAAAAAAATTAAAACGAAACTTCACTCTGAGTTGTTTTTATTAGCATTTATCTGTCGTAACATAGAAGTATAAATGAAATAACCTTTTATATCATACCATTTATATCGTTTTTGGACAATCCTCCTGAGAAATTCTTTTTTTAATTTTCAAAGGGAAAAACTTGAAAGAAAATTTTAGTTAAAACTGCAAATATAAACAAGACTACGTACGCAGCGTTATAGATTTTATTGTTTTTAGTTTTTCAAAATATATTTTGTATTACAAGTATTACTCCAATCGAAAAATGGCATGCGATCGATTTTATTGTGACTAATGCATAGCCACTTGAAAATAAAGATCATTTTTGATGGATATTTTTATGAAGGGGTCTACATTTGCAAGACACTTTAATTGTGTTAAAAAAATTATTCTGATGCTAGTTTTTGTCATATTAACAACATAATTAAAGTAGGTATTCAACATAAATCAAATCCATGATTTTATGTAGCGGAGCAAAAGATTTTTTCGATTCCATGGTCGAAATAAGGTATCATTTATTAATTTAAAAATTGGACATTTTAAAAACCATCGAAAAACTCAACATAAGTCTTATTGTATTTTGAGATGAGGTTGTTTACTTAAAGATATTCATTAAATAACACAAGCATTCCAAGAATGCCAAAACTAAACATATAAAAATACAATAAAAGTGTTAATTGTATCTACTTTACCTATCGATTGACCTGGTGGGGAGACTTCAGAACTTGAAACGGCATGTTCTGAGGATATTGACAGCTCCACATTTGATTCTTTTTTTAATGAAATAAAATATAAATCAATAAATATTTAATGTATATTTTTATTATGACAAGCATTAAATGAAAGACGCTATTTTATTATTATTTGGTGTGTAACAACATTATACTGGATTATCATTTATATCAAATTCTACTAACGATGTTGCTATATGCAACATTATTCTTCTAAGTTGGAGCAAAATTGCTGATAGAAAAGTTGTCCACAGAAAAAATAAAATAAACATCTTTGTAAAATCATACGCTTATTCGCTCTATTTAGAATCTTATTTTAATTTAATCAAAAATCTTAAATATTAAGGCCATTAAAACAATGCGATCACCACCACAAAAATTCTAAAGTTCTTAAACTAATTCAAGCCATATAACCTAATTAAAAAAAGAATTGTAATTTAATACCTTAAAAACCTAATAACCAATAAATGGTGAAATTAATATTCATCGGTATTTTTGGATAGAACAGAAAAACCCAATAAATCTCATTATCTAGATGGGGTAATGTTTTTACAGATATACATTGTATACATATTTGATATTTCATGCTTACCAAACTGTAAAACATAATAATAACAAATTATTAATTTGATCTATCTATATCTATGATTCATCTTGTGGCCGACTGCAGAACTTGCAACGGAAAATTTATTACGCTGTAATATTAACGTATTTGAATTTAGCCCCTCCACTTCACTAAAAAACATCTAAAATATTCGTAACCTAATTTTTTTAAATTTGTAACTAGTTGTAATGAACTTTGCAGAATTTTTAACCTCATCGTTCACAATTTAAAACTTGTTTCTCAATGAGGAGCCAACTTCATGTGAGCCTATTACATTAACCAAATCGATAGAAATTAAATGTATTATTTTTCTTTTAATTTTTAACCAACTTTTTAAAATTTGTAACCCCACTATACTAGAGTTATAATCAATTTATAATTGGAGTGGCTGTACCCCCCTCCAAGCTAACTAAATTAACTTGAAATCATTTTTAACTCATTAAACTTATTTGTAATTATTTGTAACAGACTTTTAAAATTTTAATTTAAATAGTTAATAATAATAATAATAATAACTATTTAACTTCATTTTTTAGTTCGCAGTTTTAATTCACATAACTTCAACTCAACTTACTTTTTTCTACATTAACTTTAAACTGTAAATATCAACATTAAATTGTTATTTCATAATAATTTTACCTTTATGTGTGTTACTGTTCTTTTCACCTTGACCATGTTCTGAAGGTGATTGTCCCTGTGCTCCTAAATCAAATAAAATGTATTTTCATTTATCGAATGTTTATGTTAAAAATACTATCTTATTATTATTTAATGATTTTAATTTACCGATATCAAACTTTTCGAATGTGTATTCCTATTTTATTGGTGGCTTATAACTAGAGTACGAATTCGTATTTTACTGCATATTTTTAACTTTATGTTAATAACGTTTACGAATTATAATTAATCTATTTTATTTTAATAAAATTAATTTATTTTGCGTATTTTTGCATATTGAACCAAAATTTCGGGGCAAACAGAACTATGTCATAAAAACCCAGTAAATGTAATACGATTCTATATGCAACGGTAAATCCTTGAAAACGATAAATAATACGATAATGTGTGGAGTAGAATAGTTCTTTTCATTGTTATCGAAAAACCCCTGAAATTCACAAATATCATGAAAGATATTAGGAGGTGAACTTTTAAATTTTACGAGACCTGTTTTTAAAATATACAACCAATTGAAAATTCCGCATTTTTCTTAGGATACTGCATGGATCAAATATCAAAGCATTTTACTCACCAAAAATGAGTTTTCAACAATTTAAAAAAAAAGTTACACATTTTTGTAACTTATAACTTCTTTGAAATACTTATAATGTAAAATTGTTTAATATCATATGTTCATAATACGGTATACCTAAACTTTTATGTACCTGTATTTCTCCCTCTTATAATAAGTACTTAGGTATGTTTAAACGAATTATTACCTTCATTATTTGCCGGAACAATGTGCCAATACACAAAATCTCCTTTATCATATTTATAAAGTATTCCTGTTTCATCATCGGCGGCCAACAATTGACCGTAAAAAGTTACCATCTCCGACATTTCGAAACCTCGGCCATCTACATTCGAGTTATTAGTATAGTGAATTTCACCTTTTTCCAATCCACTGTCCCAATTTACGGAAATTGCTTGAGAATTGGAATTGTAAATCAAACACCCCTTCTTCAAATATGTCGACCACACATTAGGCCCCAAAAGGCTTTTCGACTTTTTCTCCAAGTCACTGATCGCCGCTATGCGGAATTCGTATGTAGTCCCAGTAATTGGGTATTTTACTGTTGTATGTTTCATAACATCATTCGAAACCTCTATATTTACTATGGAAAACACGTCATTAATTATCGCTATCAAAAACACCAAACCGATCCATTGAAAACTCTAAACAAAAATATAAGAATCATATTAAAAAAATTAAATTTGCTTACCATTTTTTTGAGAGGGATACAGATTTTGAGTGGACACGGCCATTTCGGCGTGAGGCACGTACACAAGATATTTCGGAGGGCTATAATTTGTTAGAAAGTATTTTGTCGGAAAAATAAAGCTTTGGGAAATATTCTGTCGGAAAATATTTCGTTGGAAACATATTTTGTTGGAAAAATGTTAAGTAAGAAAGTTTATTTTCGGAAAAATATGATGTCGGAAAATTTTTTTCAGAAAAATAATTCGTCAAAAAATATTTTGTTGAACCGTATTTTTGTTTGAAAACTATATCATCGGAAAGTATTTTGTCGGAATTGTTCAACGTAATTTTATCATACGTACTGCATTCGTGACTGCATCTTATCGTCGTTGAATAAAAATTATTTTCCAATAAAATATATTTCCAATAAAATCCGTTCCCGACAAAATATGTTCAGACTAATTATTTTTCTAAAAAAAAAAACTTCCTGGCAAAATACAGTTCCAATAAAATTAATTTCCTACAAAGTACTTTCCGACGAATTCTTTTTCCGCCATAATACGGTTTCGACAAAATACTTTCTGACAAATTCTTTTTCCGACAAATATAGTTCTAAAAAAGTACATTTCCAACAAAATACAGTTCCTACAAAATAAAATATGATCTTGACAACATATTTTCCAATATTTTACGCGCCCCTGATTTTTTAACGGTGTCATTACAAAAAAAAAGAAACTGATACCGGGGATTGGAGCGGCCACTGTTGTAAGTGAGAAGTTGGAAAGGTAATATAAAAAAAGTTATTTCATTTAATAAATCTGTAAGCAACGATAAACCATTACTTGACGAAAGACGAATTCGAGCGCAATTCGGTAATAAATAATTTTAAATACCGTAATTTTTTGGCGATTTTCGTTTGAATTCGATTTCAAAACGCTTATTAAAAAAAAAAAGTCGTCTGATGATTTTGGAAATTTTAACACATCTAGTTAAGTCCAATATAAGTATTTTTATCAAGTTTAAAGTCTCTACGTGTATTTATAACCGAATTACAGCAAAAAAAAAACCTAAAAATTAAAACTCTCTCAAAGCTCAAAAGTGGCTTAAAAGTTTTGGAAATGATACCTTAAGAAAGTAAATAAAAAAGGCAACGAAAAGTTTTTTTGTGATTTTTTGATTAAATCATTTTTTCTAGTAGAAAACGTCGTCCGTGTTTTTATAAAATAATAAAATCGTGAAATTGTACGTTCTTCTACGTTTTATCCCACTCAAGTAATTTTATTTAATAAAGAGCATCAAAAATCAAAATAACCACTTTAAAGTACCATTTAGACAACTTAAACTATCAGAAAAGTTGCTATACGTAAAAAGTAGAGCACGTTTCCTAGAAAAAAATGTGTCCACAGACTAGAACAAAGAAAAAGAAGAAAAAAAAATAAACAGCATTATAAAATCAATCGCTCTTTCGCTACGCTCGGAATCTGAAATCATGTACAGCCAGAATACATAATTCGAAATTGAAATTCACAAGTAATTGTATACACTTTAAACATAGGCACCTATTTCTAACTTAAGTAAATTATTGGGGTTTAATTATATTGGTAATATTATTATTTAGTGTTTTTGAAATTGCAGGAAAATTACCTAATATATAGCAAAACATGTATCTATTTATATTTTTGGTTAAATTTACATCGTATGTATAGACAATTTTATCAAAATTTTTTAATAAATAAAAATTGATCAACTTAAAAATATTTAAATTTACTTTCATTTTGAATTTACAAAATATTCCCGTGTTATCATCATAAGTAAGTATTTACTGCGTAATTATCATGAATCATAATTAAATTAAATAAATTGTTTACGAAATAACGAATAACGAACCACTACTTTTCTCACATCATACTTGTGTATTGTATAATGAAGATACTGAAAATCTAGTGCGCATAAGAAAGAACCATGTATATCTACGCAATGTCTGCGTACTTTTATTTCGATTTCATTGCCCAATTATTTATAATAAGTTATAAAAAAACGAGCTGATACTGTTGACGGTTGGCATGTTAACACACTACACTGTGTTCTAGCCGCTTATTATGCTTTACCCGAGATGCAATTCTGTTATAACAACCATTGATTGATATCAATGATATTAGTGTGGTTCATATCAAAATTTCTAGAAAAATATTCTCTATTCAAATCAGTGTTCAAAAGAGGGAGGGCGTTCCTATTTGAAAATCAAAAGTATGCACTTATTTAAGGTATATGGAGTAGGGGTAAAAAATTAAAAATAATTTTTATTGACCAATTATTCTCTTATTATTTTTAATACAATTTTTAAATATTATATTAAATTCAGTTTAGTTTATGAACCATTACTGTATTCTATATGGGAGACAAATCGTATATAACTATGAATTACCTAATTATTGGAGTCAACTAGTGTATATTAATCTTTTTATTTACGATAAGAACGGGAGGCTATTCGTATATTTTGTGAGGTGACTCGCGCCTTTGCACCGGAAATATCAAATTATACAAATTGGCGTGTTATAAATGAAAAAAAAAAAAAATTATAAATTCTTACCGTCATTTTGATTTTCCAAAATACTACCGAGTCAATGAAAAACGTTAAGCGTAATATGAGCTGAAATACAAAAAAATATAATCACTTTTATAGTGAACATTTTGTCATCATAATGTTTATTTAGCAACGTTATTAATACGTTAAACACAGCTAGTAGGTAAACACCGTATCGTTTCGTTAAATGAAACGATGCCAAACGAGTAATAAATAATAATTGTTAATACGTTTTAATGTAAGTACAATGTGTATAAAATGTTCGTACACTAAAAATATGTATATGCATATTATATGATGATGATAGACAACTATTGTATCGAGTTAGCTAAATTGGATAACGAAGGTAGGTATTGAAAAACGTAACCATCGTGTTACACACCGCATGCCTATATGTAAAGTACCTAGGCGTCGATATAATGTTTCAATATTTTACGGGTAACATGGTCACCTGGTGGCGTGTAGGTATCATACTTCAAAACTGTATATTGTAAAACCGTGTTGGTACACAAAAGGTTTTAATAAATGTCGATAGTATAAATCAAGTAAATAAATATTAAAAAAAAAAAAAAAAAAAAATGAAATACAAATCTTCATTTGGTTGTTATTATAATTTGATCGAACAATAAATTATACCTACCCTAACCTAATAACCTACATAATATATTGTACTTTTGAAATTATAACGTTTACGTGAGTATACGTAGTATTCGTGTTAAGACCTATGTAATATTTGTATTTATTTCAGAACTTAACAGTACTCCGTCACTCTGAGACGAATTTGACCACATCAGCTGGCCTGTCATAACATTTCATTTCTTATTTATAATTGGTCTGAAATAATTATCGCTGCCAGAATTGTAATACATTCTAGTCTGTAGAGGTATTCGAAACCCGGTGTTTCTTGTGAATATATGCAATTTTAACATAAATATGGTTTGGAAGGGTATTGCATGCTAAAACTCCTAGAACGCACATCCTTAATACTTATACTATGCACATAGGAAATTGCACTTACTGGTTTCACTGAGGGGACTCTGTAGGTTGGGTTAGGTCAGGATAGGAACGCCACTAGTTCAAATATATACGTAAGATAAAATAATATTAAAATCACAACACTTATATTAGGTGTCAATAAATGTTTATATTTAGATTTTATAGACGATTAAATAACAATTATAGAACAATTTCGCTGTATAAGTACAATCCATTTGATTTACAAATAATATCAGTAATAAAAACGGTCGTTTTAATTTATGGCATTGTTCATATGAACTCGAACCCTTCAAACTTTTGATCAATCACTCGGGTTTGTGGATAAATAACGTTTCCTTCAACGGTAAATACGGATATAAACGTAGCCGTTATGTTGGCTTCCTCCTTCGTACTGATTGCAGTGATCACCGTGTCGTTGGTACCAGGAACAAATTTGAAACTGGCATAACCGTGATCGGGAATAATTTGGCCGATACGCGTTACCTAAATCCAATGCAACAGATAAGTTTAATATTATTGTTGTCCTGTGTGTACAATACGATTCAGTTTAGGTATCTATAAGCAACACAATATTATAAGCGGGTGGTGGATAGATGACAGTAGTTAATTTCTCTCTCATTAAGAAATAGGATAAGATATTTTATAATCTTCTTCTCCGCTATTTGGAATCGGCCAACCTCATCTTGAAATTCCACTTTAACCAATCTCCACATCGTCCTGGCATACATCCACCACCGTCCTTATATCGTTTTCAATCGCACCATATCCATTTCTTTTGCGGTCTTCTTCTACGTTTACTTTCATTATAACTCTTACTGTTTCTGATTCTTCTCTTTTCATACCATGCCCTCGGATTGTCTTTTCTCATTTTATCTACTATCGAAGATACTACTATTGCTACTACTATTACCGAAGCCTGTTCTACCTTTTATGTACTTATTACATATCTTCACTTTTCTAATATAACGAAGTGTAAGAGAATACCCAAGTATTCTCAAGCCTGTTACACTCATTCTCTATTCTATTTTCTATCTACCACTCAACATTTTGAATCATACAACATATTCGGTCTCATCACACTCTTGTAAAAACTTAACTTTAATAAGTAGCATTAGAGTCCTTCTATCACATAAAACACCTGACGTTTCCACCAGTAGTAGCCCGGGGCCCTAGGTTCACTAAGCGTGTAGCGCCTAATGGCACTCTGAGGTATAAGATATTTTAGAATAAGTATTCAAATTTGTAATTTAAATGTCTAAATTATAAATAATCTTTCAATTTTAATTAAATTTTAGATTCTGAATGTACCGAAGAAGATATATCATATATTTTTATACCTAATGGTTTTACTAAGATTTGTTTTTCATGTTGTCGCATTTGTTTAAGTAAATTTTATCGCAATAATTTTATCTTAATGCTACACCTTGATGTTTTTGAAATCCGGAGTAGCAGCTAATAGCACGTTTGTGCCCTTCTGAGTATCATCGATGTGTTCATCGTACTTTTCGTTAGACAATTTCCTGGGTAAAAAGAACCACCGGCCATGTATGTCGCTCCAAACGCACGACTCATGGACCACGTACCCTGGAAGTTGTACGCCAACGGCTTCGCGGAGCTTGATGAAGTTCTGCTCCCAGTTAAGGTGGTTGATCACACCATTTTTGTCTATTTCTTTCACCCACATTAACGACCGGTCGATTACCGTGACACCATCTGAAGCCAACATCTCTATTCCGTGAGAGCCTACGTACAGTTTTGAATCTTTAACAGTAGCCCATTCCAATTTCATCCCTGTATACAATAGGATATAAAATATAATGCATTTAAATTTCGTTTAAGTATATAAACACGTCAACATATACTTACAAGATTGGTATCAAATAATGTACGAACTACTTCGTTACTGTTAATTGTTAGCCTATTTTATAAAAATTCGACTAATCATCAAATGACAGTCGGCTATTTTGCTGATACTTATTATGTATGTTTTTAACTGATCCCACCGAATACTTATTATTATGACAAATCTCACTTTAAAATACGAAAAAAGGGGTAAAAGAAAAATGGTCAAATTTATCGCGTTCGTGATTTTATTATTTTACATTTTTTTAATTTTAATTTTTACTAAAAATATTGCTTCGATTTTGAGAAAAGCATCTTTTCAGGTAGAAAACAATATTACTTATTATATTGTTAGTGTATTAGGGAGGTCATTTTTCTAATATTAAGAACAGCAGGTAAATAACATAAAAAAAATGGACAATTTTACGACAATAACGGGTTTCTCATTATTTTTGATTTCGTATTTTTGAGCTATTAAAATTTGTCGAGATTTTTTAGTTTTTCTTTGGCTAATGTGGATAAAATTATTAAGCAAAACAGAAATGCTTCACGATTCAACACGAAGTTCATAAAATGATTTTAATTTGGACTTCTTCATTTTTGCAATTAATATATGGCAGTAACTACTCCCTTTTGAAACAAGAAATCTAAATTTTTGAACTTTGTGACTTGTTGACATTAGGTTACAATAAATCACATAATATTAACCTCTGATGAATATCGTATTTTAAGCGGATACAATTATTATTTATCATTAACAGTATCATTATTTCTTTGGATCAGTCATACTCATTATATTATCACCAATGTTTTACTCAAATAAAGCATCAGCTAAGTATAAACTATGGTACATTATTAAAGAAAAAGAAAAGACAATGATTTAATCAATTTTGCAACTGATCATTAATTGGCCTATATCTATCCGTTTTTCAGCTGAACTACATTGAACCAAGGAAATACCTCGATTTAAAACACTACTAGCAATGCACATTGGACATATTCTGTTTTCAAACTACATTCAATTTACAAATTATAGATTATATGAGAATGTAATGCAGTTTGAAAGGTTTATATACAATAATAATTACATACTTTTGAAACTGGTGGAATTATATAGTACTGAATTTTAACTTTGGATATTTTTAAATTTACATTTTTTTTTTAATACGCCAATATTGCTTATGGATTATATAAAAACCGAGTTTTTTGGACCATAAAAAAGTGAACATGAACGATTGTGGTACATCAAGATTACAGCATTGTGTTTTATCTTGATAGGAATATTTTTATCGATTATCTTGTCTAGATATATTAATAATAAATAAAAGATAAGTAATTGAACCATGTAAATAAATTTGAAAATATTTTTTTTTGAATCATGATTTATATCATTATTAGAAATGATAGGAAAAGTATTTAATTTGTATTAATGCGATTTAATAAAGTAATGTTTAAGTTACTTTAATGATATAACCTATTTGGAGCTTAAAAGTGTATTGCAGTGGCATAACTAGGATCTTTTTTTTTGGAGGGGGGTGATGTATCCATCAACCCTCTCCCCCAAGTTCGTCACTGGTGTACCAAATCTGATACGCTTTTACGCTTTCAGTTCTACGATAATTAATGAACAAAATTTTGTTTTATTGATTATTTATTTTTAAATATTTTCTATTCTAATCAAGATATTTTAAAATATATCATTATTCAACCATTATTTTAAATACCATTTTAATAAATATTGTAAAATATGCAAAATGTATGCAACTTACCAGAAATATGCAAATAATATGCATTTTTATTAAAATATGCGAAATAAAAAATTAACCATAAAATCTACACACTACGAAACATCACAACATTTTTATTTAAAATTATTCTATGTGAATTGTAGCGTAATATGCATTTGCATACAATTCCGGGCCCTACTGATGTCCAAAGCGTTTTCGAAATTAAATCCAATACATAGGCATATAATATAGCTACCTTTGTTTTGATTCCCATTGCCACCGACAACTATCAGCCACAGCACCAATTTGTCGCCGTCGATTTTATAAACTAAACCGGTTTTGTCATCAATGGTTATCAGTTGACCATTGTAAGTGACCAATTCCGATAGTTCTAAACCGCGGCCTTTCATTGAATAATGGGATTTAAATAGTTTAGCGTCAAAATCCCAGTCTATCGATACGTTTTTATTTTGTGGACTGTAGGTTAGGTAACCCCGCTTTAAATAGCTTATCCACGTGTAAGGTTCTGTAGAACTTTTCGAGGCCTTGTCCAGATCACTGATAATAGCTATTCTGTATTTAATGCTGCCATCGGGATTCAATATTGGTGCTGTCATTGGGTATTTGTTGTATGCGAATTGTAGTAAAAACCTATTGAATTCGGGTTCAGTCTCATTGGTACTCGATAATGTTGGCGCACTTAAAACAATATCGCTAGCTATTGTTAAGATCGTCAAACTGATCAACCAAATGAACTGAAAGAAAAAAAAAAAACGATTAGAATAATCATTATAGATTAATGTCGAACGTCAACTTTCACACGTCATAGGCACATGTGTATTTGTCGTATATAATAATGGTCTATCGTCGTACGCGACCTTCTGACACATACATATCTAGTATCATTTTTATAAATTTATTTTATGATCTTACAATCACAGAATTTGAAAAAAAAGAAGAGCTAATATTGCGGATGAGTGCAGAGCCATATGCTTAGGAGTGTGCGAGAGATACTCACACTCTGTACGCTATGATTACAAGGGGTGCCATTGAGCATTTCTAAAGTTCTGTAATTAAATATTTTTACAATAAATGTATCAGATTGACCTTTTTTTTCCGCTCAAAACATTGGTGCCTCGGTTTTTCTGACCCTGGGTGCCGATTTTGCTAGACACGGCACTGGATGAGTATGCCACTAGCTGTTATAGGTGAGAAGTCAGGAAGGTAAGATATCTAAAGTTATTTAATTCATATTTGTAAACAACGATACGCCATTGCATGAAATAAACTGATTTTAGTCAAAGTTCGTTTATTCATGAATTGCATGGTTGTAAGGTTGTAAGGTTTACTTTAAAATTTGATTTTCATCAAATAAATTTAAAAAAATGACTACATTTTTTTTTTAACCATGTATAACTTTTAATAATCATCCTGTTAAATTTGTAAGCATTTCTATTGGGTCAAATAATGATATTTAAGTAGTACTTATTTATCTACCAAATAAAATTACGTAAAAAGTTCGCTCATATAAAATGTCTATAAGTAGCTTAAAAATTGCTCAAATATTTTTAAAATATTACTATATCTAGAAAATCTAACTAATTTCGTGAACAACAAGATCAAAAATGCTACAATAAAACTTATTTTTTGATTAAAACTAGTAAAAATGACTGGTTCGTACAACAATTAAATCGGTAACGTCGTGACACGCCGTAAATACTTGTCGTTTCAACTTAAATTTTGTTTCCGGTTTTTTCCAATTATTTCAAAAATCCAATGGAAAATCAAAATAACCACTTGTTTAATGCATCATCTAGATAAAATTTCTTTTTCGGAAAAAGCATTACACTTGATATATAAGAGCAAAATTTTAGGTGGAAAACTTGCTCACAGACACGCAAAAAAATAAAACAACACATCATAGTAATACCAATAGATACTTCTCTCCGCTTTGAATTGAAAAGTGATAAAATGCCATAAAAAAATATAGCTGTATAAAATTGATGAGAGTTTAATAGATAAAAAAATAAAAAAATAATTGTAATCGAGGTACGTAAGGATACGTCCAAAAACGTTGAACAATTTTTAGAATTTCACGGATCCGTTAACTAAAGCACACATTATTAGCACACGATTAGTGTGTAGGGATTACTGAAGTTATTACTGAATCGACAGTAAATTTAATTGAACATTGCTTGATTTGCTGTAGACAAGGTGGTGTCTAAAACATATGTATACGGAGACATTTTTGAATGTCAAGATATTTTAATATTTAAGTGTATATAACACCCTGTTATATCTACTTATAATTTTAGATTCGAAGCGTAGCGAGGAATAATGTATTGGTTTTACAATGATGTTTATTAAAAATATATTTTTTTTTTTATCTGTAAACAATTTAACTAACATAAATCTTGATCCGATTTTCAAATGTAATAACTTTTCTTTTGGTGACATTTTTCAATTTTTCATGGGTTTTTGAAATAATTGGGAAAAATCCAAAAGAAAATTATATGAAAAAACGGCAAATATTTAGCGCCGCGGCGTTATCGTTTTCATTGTTTTTATTATGTTTTCAACAATTATGAATTATTAATTAATCAATTATGAGATGGCACGCAATAACGAATTTCTATGAAAAAATGTTGGTATTTTTATTCTTATTTTTTCTGTGCACCGCGATAAAAATATTCAAATACATTCAAACGTATTTATTATCATTTAGAATAACTGAATACGTGATTTGTTTACATATAAAGACAATAGATAAGTTTACAAAGACGAAATAAAATTGTATTGTTGATACGTGTTGAACAATTTTTAGATTTCTAAAGTATTTTTCATAATAATTAGGAAATACCAAAAAAAGGAAGAAAAATACGATTTTTTTTGCCAACTAACCTAACCTAATAAGTAAGAACCTTATAAAAATAATTCTGTTAAAAATATCCACAGGGACTTCATCTTTTTAAAAGAAAATCTATCGTGTTTTTCTAGACGTAATAAAATTTTCAAAATATTTGAGCCGTTTTTGAGCTATTCATAGACATTTTAATTTTGCGAGTTTATTCTGTATATTTATTCGATAGATACTACGTGGGTAAAGTTGTTAGACTAAACAGAAATTCTTGACAATTGAACAGGAAGTACATTATAATATATTTTTTTTTTTTTATATAAGAGTTTTAAAATCAAGTTTTAAAGAAAATCGTAAGTATTACGGCCTTTAAAACACAATTTATAGCAGGCACGTCCCTGAAGGGGATCGCCCCCTCTCCATAAGCCGTGTGATGTTCTTTTTTGTTATAAAAAAAATTATACGTAATTGTTATGTACAAATAAGTAAAAATGCAACTGATCCCAAATGCCATAAAGATGATTTTGGATCATGAAAATACTTTGTTATAAATTTCAATAAATATTCTCTCAAGGGTGAGATAGAATTGTGGAAAACTAAGTGAGAATTATAAATTTGCAAAGATATAATAAAATAATGATATTTGATTTTTGAATCAAAATTGGAAATGATTAATTAGATACAAATTTTAGATTTTGAGTGTTGCAAAGAATGTACCTATTGGATTTACACCGATGTTTTTTTATACTGTGACAATAATTTTTACTAGAAATTTTGCTTCACTAAGGTCATTATTTGATTTTCTAAGCAGTTTTCATAATATCAGGAATACCCAGGAAAAAACGTAAATTTCCCGTTTTCTTATGTTTTGTTCTGGTTTTTACCAGTTATTGTGAAAACCGCTTGGAAAATCAAAAAATGACCTTCCTAAAGTACCATCCGGACAAAATTTTCTTTAAGAAATGGTGCCACGCGTAGATATTGGAGCAAGATTTTTGTAGTAGAATTTCTGCACACAGCATGAAAAAAAAAACACATCTTTGTAAAACCAATACATTCTTCGCTACACTCTCAGAATCTAAAATAATAATTTTATAATGGTAATCTTCTTTGTATTGGAGTCAACACTTCAATAACACTTTGAAATCAACTGATTTGGTCATTTCTTGCTCAACAAATAAATAATATATATACTTATATTATATAGACTACTTGAAATTAAAAAAAAATTAACGACGATAATACTTACGAATATAAATTTCGTTTATTATTGCAAAAAAATTTATCCGAATTTATTATAAATATACCTGACTGATTTTATGTATAGGTACACTATATACGTGTCGTGTTTACCGGATAATACGTTAAAAATTGATATTGTTTGTGTTTTGACCATCGTTCTGTCGTGACCTCTTGGCTCCTGAACTTAGCTGACTTAGCATATAGAGCCATACAGCCTTATATGTCCTTACAGCTATGAACTATAGTATTGCATGTGTTGCATGTGTACCGCATAATGCAGATTAATAAATTAAATTATGGAATTAATTATACTCGCACGTTTGCGCGTGTACGCGTGACGTAAATGTTCAGAATAATATTATTATATTCTAGCTATGATTTAACCCATTGAACATGTTACAGCGATCAATACATTGGATATGAACGAACTCATTGAAGACTTCACAGGGCAAAAATCTAGACAAATTGGAATCTAAATGTGATTAATGTCATGATGTACCTATTAACATAACAAATATTATTATGTCACTTACGATTAATAACTGATATAACATTATATGTTTATATTTTAAAAAAAATATTGATATAAGACCAACAAGCGTTTACAAAATTATTATGTAGCAAAAAACATTAATTTTGAACATTTTTAGGTTTGAGTTATCATCATAATTTATAAATCAGGAGGGCGCATTTTGAAGTTTCGAACCGGACGCAATATTTGGTTGCTATGGCCCTGGCATCCCCATCACCTCCACTAAATACGCCAATGATTAAAATACTGGCTAAATGCTGATGGGTGCTGTTATAGGTGGGAAGTTGATAAGGTAGGATACACAAAGTTATTTAATTTATATCCGTGAACAACGGTAAACCATTGCTAACCAAGCACGATTTTGAGCGAAGTATATTTTTAGATAATTTTTAACACGATTCAATGTCTAAAAACTTTTGTGAAATATTTCAGTATCCAGAGCATTAGAAAAATGACACCACCACAATATATGTTAAGAATGGTCCATTTAAATGGACCTCCTTGTAATTTGTACTATTCGTCTTTTTACTTTTTTTTTTTCAACATTATACTCATGTGTTACGTTCGTTATTTAATAATACGAGTGAGTAATTTTATTTATAATGTACGGATCAGTTAGTTTAATTAATATTAAACTAAGTGATCTATATAATTATTGGTTGTGTTATAATTAATTTTGCGTAAAAGGTACCGTACGTCGGCTGCACCAATTATTTTCGGAAAATAGTTGTTTATTATTTTAGAAAGCATTTAATAATTTCATTAACTACATAAACATACATTGTACGTTTTGCGGCATGAGCTCCAGTAATAAACTTCAGAGGATAATTTAATCTCGAATAAAATAGTCAACTAAAGTAAAGGTTTTACCCGATAAAATGATACATTTTTGATGAGTAAACCTTTTATACTGGATTTTTCACAGGGCTGCAAATTGGTTCCGAAACGTCCGAATTCCTTTCAGGGTTGTTACGAAAGGTACATTCGAATTATCATCTCAAATTATTTCGAAAGTAATTTCGATTTTTCTTCCCATTTCATACAGACTTAGAACGGTTAAATTATAGTTGTTTAATATATCGCGAGCCTCTTTCAATATTTTGGACAACGTTCATTTTATGCTGACCGGCATGCATATTTGTTCTAATTCTACATAATATATATTTACATAATATTTTACATAATACGTCTTTGAAAATATACTTATGATAAAGCTACTTCAGATTTTGTAAAAACAATTTGTTATTCAATAAAATCTCGAACACAATTTATTACATTTGTCAGATCTCCATGAAACATATATTATGTATTATTTTAATGACCAATAAAATATATTAAATTCGAAATATAAATAATAGGCTGTTTGGAAGTTTTACTTTTTTTTTTAAAATAAAACTAGAAAATTTCTCCCTTGTAGTCCCAAACTTACTCCCGAAAAAAATTGAGCCCAAAAATAAAACTGTTTGATCTTGCTCATCTCATAATTAGTCTTTCTATTTAAATAACATGCTGGAAAATAACAATCATTTCAATTAAGCCACACTTATTCATCAATTTCAAAAGTTACGAATTTTTATATAGGTTTTCCTTATAGATCACAGAATAATACATACGATTAACTTGGATTCAAGTGAAATTATACTGTATAAGAATAGCTCATTTTGTAAAAATTTATAGAAATTTTCAGATTTTTTTTAAATTGTCTACTCATTATAGTCAGTGAAACTGATCTATAACCAAGAATCGATAGTAAGGTTTTTACATAAATTACAAAATTAACGTTATTTGAACATTTTTAATCAAAAAGTGGTTGTGTTTTACAACTTTATAATATGAATAAAAGTTAAAAAAAACTAAATTTGTATAGATCTAAACAAATAAGCTATTCTTATAAGTAACAATAAAATTTCACTGGATTCCAAGTGAATTGTTTTGTGATCTTTTAGAAAAATCTATATACAACCTTGTAAATTCCAAATTTAATGAGGAAATGTGATTTAATTAAAAGTATCGTTACTTTCCTATGCTATTCAAATCGAAAAACTAAATATACGTTGAGCGCGATCCAAACAAATTTTTTTCGGGCTTAATTCGAAAAAAAAATCGAAACAGCCTAATGTATAATTTAAAATTCTTACCATTATGATATTTCAACAAACTTTTATGTTCGAAAAATAAAAAAATAAAAAATATGATACCGTCAAAATGTAGTGAAAAACTACAATGATAATTAATAATTCGCGGAATAATAATAATATTGTATTATTAACACTGTTTTTATGAATTGACGCGCATGACAACAAACTCTATCGCAATGAAACGTCGTTTGCCCGAACGGTTTATTTTATTTGTACCGAATACGTTCCTAATAAGCATATTACCGTAATACAATGTTAGAACCTATCACACGACAACCGTATTGAGTTATATTTTATTTATAATCGAGTTCATGAACGGGGACCGTTGTATACAGCGTTCCTAGTGGTGATTTTGTCCAAAAACCGCAAACATACGCCGTCGCTCCCGTAATATTTCGTAACGAATGTTATCAAGGTACAATAATACAACGTTGCATTGGCGTATATCCAGAATACCGGAATCGGTCAAGATATAACATCAATCCATCTGGGTATACGTTATACGTTCAATACGGGCATGTGTATACCGAATATAAAATATGGAAATGTTTTTCTAGTGTAAAATTGTAGTAATCCGCGTCGACACGCAGTCTCCTAAGCCCGTAAGAACGGGAAAGGAATTGCGCGTATTTGACAATCTTACTGTGGAAACCAATTCAACTAGTAGTGGATACGGCACAAAAAGTTGAACACGGCCCAATTTGGCTCAATTTCATAAATTACCTTTTTCCAAACGGGAAACGATTCTGACACGCCCTCGTGCGTACTACAACGCTGGGAACCCCGATACTTATTTTGAACTACGCTCGATCTCCGTGAGCCCGCACGAATGAAAATAATAGTTGTGATAACGTTCATATGAGGTTAGGTTAAGTTGAGAACGGGCATTATTTGTCGTTTTTAAGTCACTTTCGATAATGAACATATTTGATTTTATTTTCAGTGTGTAATATCTTTTGGCTTTCTCGATAACTTATATAGGTTATTCGATGTAGGTATAGTATTACTTAATATATTTTAAATTAATTTACAGCCATTCGGATTTACTGTTTGTGGAAAGGTTTTACTATTAATCACTTACTCTCAAGAGGGTATTTCAATACTAAAATCAACGGAGCTGTTTGTGTTTTAAACTGATCAAATAATAAACATAATGCATCTGCTCGCGAGCAGACGTTATACATATATTATAAAGTGTAGGCTCTTTTTATAAGGAGATACATATACATTATACTCGTGTGTGTGTGTATATATATATAGGCATACGTTCAATTTAATATCAAAGGTTTCCAGAAATCATATTATAATTATTATTTTGTACGAGTATACCGGTAACTTGCTTTAATGGAGTTACCTACACTGCCACGGCGATGTGATTAATGGACCAGCTAATATTAGCCGTCTCGGTTTTACTCGGCATCGGCGGCGATTACATTAGACGCACGCGTCCATAGAAACTCGGCTCATCTGAAGAGTAATCGAATTCGGCTGACCAAAGGGTCCACTTCAAAGGCACCTACTTCGTCAAAATCGGAGAGTACAACAATGTGATATTATATAAATTATTATTATTTAGCGAAACTCTTTATCTTAAGCGATCCACTCTCAAATACGGATAATGACATCACGGCGGTTAAACTAATGGAAAACTCTTGTACAGATTTAATTTAGAAATTTAAACCGGCACGTGTGTATTTAATATTAGTATCTGGTCAAATACAATATTACTTATGCGTGCGGCGTACGCGTACCAGGGGCGGACTGAGACCCAATGGGTCTACTCTTTTACAAAATACAATGGGCCCCTAACGATACGCGTACACGAAATTTTATCCCCCCCGGTTTCATATTTTGGGTCTGTTTCTGTCACCGATCTGTGTTTTAAATTAAAAACAACGGTTTTCTGTTTTTTCGCAACAATACGGTGAAAATCATATTAAATCTCAAAAGGTACGACTTGCATGACTTCGATCCACCTATAAAATCATTCTATTATTGCGACATAATAGAATGACTTTTATATTCTAATTCTAACTATAAATTATTTAATTTTTCAATATTTACTTTGGTAATAATAAACTTTGGTTTGTCAACACTTCGTTCTTTTCGATGTTTTCAGAGTCGACATTTCAATCTGTTGATATTTTGTACGTTTAGATTCCGAGTGGAGCGACGAAACGTATGGTTTTAAAAATATGTTTATATTTTTTTCTGTATTAAGTATGTCTGCGGAATGACATAAGATAATATAACCTACGCTAACGATCAGTGGCGTAGCCAAGGGGTGGCTAAAGGGGCTATAGCCTAGTTCAATTTGGATTAAGAATTAAAAGTTTAATGTGAATCCAACACTCTAATATTAGTTGGTAAGAAAAAAAAAACAGAAACATAAAAAAAATGTATATCTACCTACAACTTTTGGGTGGGAATCTTCAAATGTCCGCTCATGATGTTGAAAATCCCAAACTAGAAAATCCAATTCGTAAAATAACATCATCGGTAACTTAGGAATTTGGTAGGTATTTTGTACAGTATTAGATATAGTATTATTATTGTTATGTTCATAAAAAAAAAAAATGATTGAAATAAATAATTAATTTCAAGTTACTAAACAAAATATTATTAATTAAAGTTTACAAAAACAGTTTTTACACGAAAAAAACATTATTTCCCGTTGTATAATATTCTACATTAACTAAAAAAAATTGTACTAGATTTATGCAAAAATGAGATTAAGTAAAAAAAAAAATAAAAAAATGATGGCAACTCTTATACGTGCGCCGGCTCGACAATATACGTGAAGGTACCTATCTATATTATGTATAACAATATGATGCTCATAAGGTGATAACAAAATGTCGTTTGAAAAGCAAACATTATATAACAATTAATTACTATGCGTGGAATTATATTATGATATTATAACCGTAATACATGACACGGTTATATAAAGTTCAAAAAAAAAAAAAAAATGAAGAATAATTTGACGCACGCGCACAATAAAGTTTAGGATTAAAATGCTGAAATACAGTCCATATCGCACAGTATTATATCGCTGAATGAAATCTACATTCATTTTGAATACGAATTTAGTTTGATTTAACAACACAATATTACTTTTAATATACATTCGAAAAATATTTAGTCAAATAAGTGCTAAAACATTTATTTTAATTCATTAAAAAATTAACAACCATAGTTACCGTGTTAAAAACTATTATTCATTTTACACTATATTTCATTTAGTTATTTTTTTTTTTTTTATATTTAGACTGAAATAATCGGTCTAATGGATTAAAAATTATTGATTTAAATCGATCATTATTTTTTTGATTATATATTCTTTTAGATTCTGAGCGCGGCGAGTAGTGCGTATTGTAGTTTTACTATGATGTGTACTTATTTTTTCCTGTATGGAAACAATTTTTTTATCGATTAGGGAGATTTCGGGTCCGGACCTCTCCCCTACAAATGCAGTAATCCGTTTTGTAAATATGTGCATAGGTGAATGGCGCTGCAAATGTGTAAGTGTGTGTATAACTATCATGACTATTATTATAGTGTTACTAACAGTAATCTGTTGGTTATGAATTTTATTATAATAATACAAATAATTAACGAATAAATAAAATAAAAATGATAGACCGGGGATCTATAAAGAATTCCTGTGTACGCCCCTGTGTTCAGATATATAAATGTAGAAACTATTATAAAAACAATTTTGTTTAGTTTGTTAAAAGGAAAGCTGTTTTCGATTTTTTTTAATGTTTTTAAATTAATTGGAAATACCTGGTAATTGACTTCGAAAATTAGGGATATTTACGAAAAGAATGATTATCGATTAAAAAAAAAAAAAAAATATTTTTATTATACTTGTATCAGTTAAAAATAATTGTAAAGTCCTGAAATGTTCTCAGAATACTTTATTTAGTTCTTTATATACGACTATACATGATAAGTTGTTCAAGACATTCGGATGAATTTTAAGCTAGTTCCAGTTTTTAAAATAACTAACGGCATTTCAAAATATTTTTAACCGAATTTTGTTCAGAACGCAATTCGTCAGCAATGATTTATCGGTTCACAATGTTCACATAGTATAATATAAACTAAATAATCTTGTATTTCTTACCCTTCCAATTACCCGCCTACAACAGTGGCCTTGAGCCACAATATCAACTTTTTTTTATTGGATATGTCATAGGCGTAATAATATTATTACTGTTACTATTGTCTACTTATATTCGGCGAATGGTGATTCGGCATAATGTAATAATAATTGAACACGCAGTTAATTTAAGTTAAGACTTGCAGTACTGTGACATTCGAGTTTCGGTGGAAAGGGGAGGGAAGGGGAGGGCGTTATAACAATATAATAGTACAATAATTTCGGTGCGCGCGGGCACGTGACCTAATCATGAATTATATTATGCGCAGCAGCGGTATAATATAACGGTACGTGCTCATTGACGGGATGAAAAATAAAAAATGAAACAGTAATCCTCGTCTTAACCCGATAATTAAGAAAATAAACGAGGAAAAAATGTCTCTCTCTTCCTCGCCTCCCGCTACACCACCGACACGCTACGGCCGACCCTAGGCCACTTAATGTAAAGATCCCCCAGTAAAATAAATATACGAAAAAAATTTAAAAAAAAAAAAAAAGAAAAAAAAAAAATATAAACCCCTGTAGTATTCGTTTCTTTCCGACCGCCGCCGCCGCTCGTCCTTCTCCGTCATGTCCTCTCTCTCACTCTCTCTCCTCTCTCTCACTCTCTCTCTCTCTCTTCCGCTCGCGCCGTTCCCTTATAGTGTATACACTGTACACCGTACTTTAATATAATATATTGTGTACAGTCATTTTTGCTATTTTTATTTTTCCCCTTCCCCTCGTTTACTTTTTAATCCCGCCACTTAATTTGCAACGTCGATGTCGTGTCGCTGCCGAGAAACATATAATAATATTGTATACATATATATATATATATATGAATGTATATTATTTCCTCGGCGAAGAAAAAACATCAGAAATCCCCCCGGCCGATGATGAGTCCTCTCGTTTTAATCGCGTTCCCCTCCGGCTTCGTTAATTGACCGGACGCATTTTTCCCTTTCTTTACATTTCCGTAATCCCGGCGAATTCAAAATACACGCGGACTCGATTATATGTCTATATATATTTATATACACGAGGATATTTTTTTTATATTTTCCTCGCCGCTTTTTTCTATATATATATATATATATATATATATACGTATTCGAATCTTCCGCTTGCGCCGT